AACTCATTCCACAGTACTATGCTGTCCCTTAGCTCTCCCTTCCTCTCAAGACAACACTTTCTTCCTTGAGTCACTAATCATAGCTCTTCTGTCCCCCACCTCAAATGAGACCCTGTAGAGTGATAGTTTTTATATGTAGGACTCTGAGGAAACAAATTTGTGTCCCAATCTGAGTCCAACCACTCACTAATGGTACGACCACCCTCAGCCTCAGTTTGAAGTGAAAAATAAAAGGAGATACTAGCAACTCTTCGGTGAATGTTTGTGTTCATTATTATTATTCAAAACAACTGGAAGAGCCACTGGCATGGGAGGAAATCCAGTTGAGATAGTGCTACAACAGCCAGAGGAAGAAAATACATTGGGAAGGAAGAATAGATAGCAGTGCAGGAGGCTGCTGAGAGATCAAGTAGTACATAGACTGAAAATAGGTCACTGGTTACCTTGGGAAGAATTGCTGAGGAGAGCTAGTAAGAAGAGAATTTTGAGTGAAGCAGAGTGAGGAGTGCGTTGGGGAGAAATAGAGAAAGTGGATGTAGATTGTAGACAAATCTTCTAAGTTTGTACATGAAGAGAAGCAGTGAAATGGGTGACTTGTGAAGAACTGATAGATCTAAGGAGAGTTTTTTAAATGTGTAATTTGGAGCTATTAGAGATTGAACATAAATGTCAACAGAATGGAGTTAGTTGAGAGTCTCTGTTCTTCATTTCTAACATTACTATTGGAATTCTTCAAGGCTATGACCCTGATCAACCCTCTATCTTTCCTCTTCTACATGGTAACCATGAGTAGAGTAGTAGCAATTTCACCTGCTCCCATAGCCTCTATCTCCCAAACAATCCAGACCAATATCCTGAATTCAAGACATGGCAATGTCTATAGGACATCACCATTTAGGTGACCCTAAGGCACTTCAAACTCAGCACCTCCAACTAAGCTCATTATCTCTGGTCCCCAGTCTGTGCTCCCAGTCTGTTTTCTGTTCCTTGTCACAGAAATGATTCTGTTGCCCAAGCTAGAAATTTAGAAGCCATCATCTCTGCCTTCTCCCCTTCTCTCTCTCTCACCTCCCTCTCCAAATACATCCAATCAATCATCAAGTCCTCTTCATACAGATGGCCAGTAGACATATGAAAAGATATTCAACATTGCTAATACTCAGAGAAATGCAAGTCAAAACCACAATGAGATATCACCTCAAATCTGTCAGAATGGCTATCATTAATAAGTCAAGAAACAACAAGTGTTGGGGAGGATGTGGAGAAAAGGGAACCCTTGTGCATTGTTGGTGGGAATGCAGATTAGTGCAGCCACTATGGAAAACAGTATAGAGGGTCCTCAAAAAATTAAAAATGGAACTGCCTTATGGCTCAACAATTCCACTTCTGAAGATTTATCCAAAGAAACCCAAACCGCTAGTTCAAAAGAATATATGCACCCCTATATTTATTGCAGCGTTATTTGCAATAGCCAAAATATGGAAGCAACACAAGTGCCCATCAACAGATGAGTGGATAGGCCCTGGCCAGTCTGGCTCAGTGGTTAGAGTGTTGCCCCATGGACTGAAGAGTCACAGGTTTGATTCCCAGTCAAGGGCACATACCTGGGTTGCAGATTCCATTCCCAGCCCCAGTCAGTCAGGGCAAGTGCAGGAGGCAGGCAAACAAACAATGTCTCTCTTTCACATCTCTCTCTCTCTCTCTCTCTCTCTCTCTCTCTCCCTCTCTCTAAAAAATATATTTAATGGAAAAAATATTATCAAGTGAGGATTAACAAAAAAAAATAAGTGAGTGGATTAAAAAGCTGTGGTACATATATACAATACAATATTACTCAGCCAATTAAAAATGAAATCTTACCATTTCCAGTAGCATGAGTGGATCCAGAGGGTATTATGCTCAGCGAAATAAGTCAGTTAGAGAAAGACACATACCATATTATTTCACTTATATGTAGAATCTAAAGAACAAAGTAAATAAACAAAATTGAAACAGTTTCATAGACAAAGAGTGAACTGGTGGTTGCCAGAGGAAAGGAGCTGTTGGGGGACTGGGTGAAAGAGGTGAAGGGATTAAAAAGTACAAATTGGTAGTTACAAATTAGTCACAGGGATGTACAGTACAGCACAGGGAATATAGTCAATAATATTATAATAACTACATATAGTTCAAAGTGGGTGCTGGAAATATCTGAGGAAACACTTTGTAAAGTATATGATTGTATAACCATACCTGAAACCAATACAGAATAATATTGAAATTAAACCTTAATTGAAAACTTAAAAAATCACCAAGTCTTCTTTATTTTCCTCCTGAATATCTCATGAATTAGATTTTCCCCATCGCCTTTGCCTTTACTCCAGTTCAAGCCAAGATAACCTCTTGCCTAGATCATCAGAATAACTCATTCACTGGTCAGCCTCACTGAAGAATTTTCCTACCAATTCACTGTCCACACTGTGGCCAGTGTGATCTTCAAAACACAAATCAGTCCATCATATCTTCCCAGTGACATTAGAATGAAAAGTTGAAGTTCATACTTCCTAACCAAGCTCATAAGGCCTCCATGAATCATCTCAATGTACCTCTATATGTGGAATAAAAAAATAATACAATAAAATAAACAGTAAACAAACAAAAAACAGAAACAGACCCACAGACATAGACAACAAGCTGATGATTGCCAAAGGGGAGGGGGGAAGAGGGAAGCATCTATGTATAAGCAGAGAAGTGTGTTGGGATATATATCAGAAAATGTGTGAAGTAGAAATTTAAAAAGAGACAGTATACAAATTACAAAGAACCTAGGAAACCATATATTGTTTGGGATTGGATTCAGTATAAAACAAACCTAGAAGAGAATGAGTCAATTCTCTATATATGTTCAGCTATCTATTCAGGTCACTCTTCCAGAAATTAGTGTGGATTGCACATAGGCATAATAGTTCCTCTAGAGATTTCTTTTTTACAGTAGTTAAATAGATTAATTAATTAATTTTTAAAATATAAAAAATATAGTTCATTCCTAAGATTGTATGAAACTTAGTGAGGCTGTGGCTCATACTGGGGGTGGAGGAAAAGAAAACAATTGGGGGTCTCTCAGCAAGGCAGATTGTATGACATGCAATGTGGTCAGACCCTCGTCTCTTTCCACAAAGTAAGGCCCAGGGTTTCATACCAACCCCCTACCCTTTCTTAGCCCTGCTTCCTCAATGCCTGCACCTCCTACCCTGCCCCCAACCAGTTCTCAGTCTGGCTTCTCCTTTCTTGCCACTCCTCTTCCAGAGCACTGACAGATACCATTTGACAGTTAGCCACTCAACTTATCCTCGTCTGTCTTGATTTAGGCAGAGGCAGCCATGGAATATATCAAAGACAGGGCATCACCTGGACACACCTGTCTGCCTCCTACTGAAAACAAGGTACCCTGTGGGAGGCTGGAAAGGGGAGCTTCGGTGCCTGGGTGGTGGACTCATCTGTCTTCAAAAGATCTCTGTCCAGCCTCCATGAACACAAGCCTCCACCCCCAGAAACTCTAAGGTGCCTTTGCCAGGGCTTTTAGCAAACAGGTACTTTAGAGTTATGGTTATGGATAATTGCAAGTTACAAATGAAAAAGATCTTCCCATTAATCGTTTTAACTTCATAGGAGCTCCAGAGAAGTATTACCATCTTGATCCTGAGCTCCTTAGGAGTAGAGACGGTGTGACACAGCTGTAATCCCAGCATCCAGCATAAAGTGTTGAGAAAAGACGATGCTCAATAAGTTTAAAGTGGCTTGTTTCAATTAATCCACTCCCTATTCTGTCACAACAGCCATTTCTCCAGATCCAAATAAAAGAAAGGGTCCAGCTCAGACCTCAGTTACCTCTTCTCTTCTTTGGTTTGCTCATGGCCCCATTTGTTTCAGGAATTTTCTGGGCCTCACCCTTCAAAATTCCAACCATGTCCTGGGCCCTGACATTGGCCTAAGGACCCAAAGAGTTTAAATCCAAACAATGGAAATGAGCTTCAGTTGGAAGATTTCCTTGCTATTTTCCATGTGGGCAGGATGTGCCTTCAGTTGCTTGTTCAGTAAACACCTAAATATCAGGAGAAAAGATAAGGTACAGGGAGTCCAAAGAAAAATCCAATTCACTCCCTTTAAGTGACAGTATGTGTGTATACATGTCTGTGTCTGTGTGTTTGGGTGAGGGAGGGGTACCAGTTGTGTTTGTTTGTTTGTTTGTTTGTTTGTTTGTTTGTTTTTAGGGTGTGTGTTTTTTTTATTGACAATTTGTGACCAGGGATTCATTCCACTTTTACTCCACCAGTTCCCAGTATCTGCTCCTAACATTAAGGTGGGTTGTGGCAATAGTGATGAGGCATGCTCCTGCTGAAATATTCAGGATGGGGATTTTCTAACAAACCAGTACCTGCAGCCTGGAGCCAGGAGAGGTCGCTCCTCTTGTTGAAAACTGCAGAGCCCACAACCTCCAAGTGCGCAGCTCTGCGCTAAATTGGGTCACAGACCAGACATGCCTGATCTCACATGCTGGTGAGTTTCATATGGGAAACTAGCAAATGAACAGCATTAGGTGTAGTCACCGAAGGGAACAAGGTTCTTTCAGAAGAGCCACAGGTCGGCCAGAGCTGAAGCGTGACACGTCAGTAGTTCCTTGGAAAGAGCCAGCTGGGCCTCTGCTAACTGCCTGAGTGGCGTCATCCGGGACCCCACCCTTCGACGCGTCCTGGCACTGACTCCTGGGCCCTTTCACAGTCGGAACGGGCTCTGGGCTGGGGGAAAGGGCCAGAAAAGCCCAAATAGCAGAGCAAAAACACTGGCCTGCCGATAGGTGTGTAGAGACCCCGTTCCCTCCTCCGATTGGCTAGAGTTGTCCTAACCCCTGTCTGTGATTGGCTGTTCTCACAAAAATGCCGCCGGGCGGATTCCAGCGCCGGCCCTGGTCGCCGTTCATTGGCTTCGGCCCTGTGGGCGGGGCCTGGGTGCCCAGCGGGAGGCCGAGGAGCAGGCGACTGCCGGACCTTCCTCTCCCGGCCGGCGGTAGGTGCCCTGGCCCAGCCGCTCCCGAGGTTGCGGACCCTTGGCCGTGGGAACCTGGCATCTCCACTTCCGGCTTTCGCCGCGGGGCGCTAGTCCGAGCCCAGGAAGGAGGTGGGTAGGCCGCCGTGCTTTTTCTAAAGTCAAAAGTCCTGCAGGGTCACCTCACGCTGCCCCCGACCCGCCCGCCGCCCCGGGGCCAGGAGGTTAACACCCACCCGGCTCCCGGACCGGGAGCTCACCGCCTGTGCCGCTCCCCACCCTGCTGCCTCCTCGCGAGTTTTTTCCAATCTGCGCCCCTCTCTTCAAAGGTCTTTCCGGAACTGGTTCCACTTTCTGCCAGAGGAAATTTCGAAGCAATTAAATGTTTAATAAAGTTTTTTCGAAGTTATTTGTGTGCAATAAAAAAAGAAAACAATGAAGCAAGTTTTATATCTAAGAGTAATAGCTACCCGCCTCTAACTCCTTTTTGCGGAGGCCACCGCTTGTAACTTTTTCATGTTCAAATCTTGTTATAATCCTACTAAATCTAAATAATATGCTCACACCGCATTTCTGGATTTATCATTTTGATATTTCTTTACCTCTCGTCCTTACTCCCACCAATTCTCGATTTCTACTTTTTGTTCTTTTGGTGATCTTTGGAGCTGTCAATCATAGATCTCAACCTGGATTGTGTCAGCTTTAGGCGGTAGCTCTTGATGCAGCTCTGAGATGAGGATGCTGACACTTCCACTTCCGGCCTACGATCAGCTGGATCTCAGCCCTTACATTTACTCCTCATATATTCAACAAATATTGGAGGCCCTGTTTCTTGGCCTTGGGGATGCAGTTAGTGAACAAAATTGAGGATGTCACTATCCTCATGAAACTTCTAGTGTGGAAGTAAGGCAATAAACACATACCTATCAGGTGATGGCGGTGTTAGGAGCAGGATGCTGGAGAAGTCATTTCAAGCCGAGAGAACAGCAGGAACCCAAGTGGGGGTAGAATGAATAGAAATGGGGTCTGCACAGAGGTGTGGAAGTTTCTCTCTTTGCTTGATGGGGCACAGGTGCTGTTTCAAAGATGAAGAACAAGAGCACCCTATAGGACTGAGTGCTGAGGAACCAGGATAGGCTCTTCAGTGGCTCAGTGATTTCATAAAACTAGGTTTTAGGATACTGGATCTGACAATTTGGTAGTAGTGGGAACCACGAAAAGCAGGAGGCAGGGAGGCCAGTGAGAAGGAGGACCTCCTGCTAGCCTTTAACAGACAGTCCTGCAAAATCTACTTACTGCTCTGTTTCCTCCAGGAGGACTTACTGGACTACCCAAAACCACAGTGAGTTCTCCCTCTCTGTCTCTTGAATTTTTATTATACCTTGTAGCTGGAGGTTAGTAATTTGCCCAAGATAGAACGGTGGGGCCCAGGACCAGGCATCTGTAAGATGAGAACAGGAGAATAATGGTTTCTACTTAGGGTTGTAAAATAAACTGAGCTGATCCATGTAAAATGCTCAGGATAGTGTCTGGCATGTGGTGCAAGTACTCAAGGTGTGCTTGCTATTATATGATCTCAATTATCTAACAGATTAGAAAAGCATTTTGAGTTTAGGAGCTGTTTCCTATGTCTAGCTGATTTATTTGTTTGAAAAATATTTACTCAGTAATAACTGCGTTTTAAGCACTGTTTAGGTGCTGGGGATGCAGCAGTAACGAAGACCAACATAGCTCTTCCCTTTAGAGACTCTAGCTACTAACACAGACTTGCAAAGTGAACAGGTGAATATTGCCAACTCTGCCAAGAGCCTTCCATTGACCATGTAAGTTCCGGACCCAAACGTGGTCATCCTGGCTAAAATCTCAGGTTTCTTGTTGGGGTAGTGACTTCATCATATAGGTTTGGTTAACATCAGATGACCTTTGTTTTTATCTGCCAAGTGGTGGTGTTTCATCTCTGCTGCTAACATATCACTGAAGGCTGAGGAGGGTGTCAGCATCTCCATGAATGCTGGTGCTGGAGAAGGGTGCAGGGGTTTACAGGGTTTGGGAGAGGACTGCTTGTTCTCTTGTTCTTTACACTGGACTGTGCAACACAAGAAAACCAAATGAGCATATAGGCAGTGGGTTTCTGTCATGTAACCTTTTACCCCTTGAAGTATATAAGTATACATATAAACATACCAGAGAATGAGACTAAGGGTACTTCTGGCCTTATTTTAGATACTGAAACACCCCATTTTATGTGACCTTATCTAAGTTCAAGAGGAATAATACTGATTTGGAGAGCATGACTGAGGTGGAGTGGGAATGGTCAGGTGAGCAAGTCCAGGGGAGGGTCAGAGATGACCAAATGAATAAAAACTGAGAACTCCCAAAACACTTGCTCCAGCATCCCCGGATGTCCCTCTGTGGTATGACCCAACCAGAACTTCAGTTGGGAAGGCCAGTGCTTATTGAACAGAGTCAATAATGGGTCAAGGAAGGATTAAAAGGGGGAACTTGGTTTTTTCACCCATTAATTATCCTTTTTACTTATACCTTCACTCCGGTTGCCTTTTCCTCATACTTGTTTTTATTTTCTTCTCCTCAGCCTTCACTACCTCTGCCTGGTTTTGTTCGTGTTCCAAGGAGGGTGTGAAAGGGAGCCATGGATCCTGCAGCATTGGTGGAAGCCGTTGTGGAAGAACTGGCCTGTCCCATCTGCATGACCTACCTGAGGGAGCCTGTGAGCATTGACTGTGGCCATAGCTTCTGCCACAGCTGTCTTTCCGGACTCTGGGAGGTCCCAAGGGAATCCCAGAACTGGGGTTACACATGTCCCCTCTGCCGGACTCCTGTCCAGCCAGGGAACCTGAGGCCTAATTGGCAGCTGGCCAATGTGGTAGAAAAAATTCGTTTACTAGACCTGCACCCAGGAATGATGCTTAAGGGTAATGTGTGTGAGCTCCACAGAGAACAGCTAAAGATGTTCTGCAAAGAGGATGGCCTGATGACATGTGAGGCTTGCAGCCGGTCCCCTGAACATGAGGCCCACAGTGTCATGCCCATGGAGGATGTCGCCTGGGAATATAAGGTGGGAGACAGAGGATAGCCACCCCAGTTTCTCCCTTGCCCCTCACTTGACTGTCTCTAAATTAAGAACTTGACCAGAGGCCCCAGAGATAAAATGAGAACTGATTTATTTGGGCCTCATGCCCACAGAGCCTTGAGACCAGACACAGTGAGCCACATCTCTCCTTGCGTCTGACCTCCTTTGACTTCCTTCCCTCCCATTCGCACACCCCATCCCTGATCCCAAAATGGGACACCCCTGCTACTTCTTTTGGATAGCTTCCCTCATCAGCTTCCAGCTTATACTTTCCACAGTTGTCCATGCTGACATATCTTTACCAGAATCCTTATCCCAATGTCTCTGGGATCCAGTGATCCAATACTGGCCTTAATTCTCTTTTTGGAAGTTGAGATTAGAACGTAAGAGTGTAAGACAAATCCCCAGAATTAGCTTTTTTTTTTATGTGAGAAGAATTTCTAAATAATTAAAAGTATTTACTTACTCATTTTGTTTTGAAAGTATTAGAATAGGGAGGCAGTATCATATAGGCATAGGAGTTACACAGCAGTGTTAAATCCCAGCCCAGTCACTTATGAGCTGAATAGCTTTGAGTGTGTCTCTCTCTAAGCCTCAGTTTTCTTATCTGTACAGTGGGATTAATACCAGTTTCAAGGGATTGTGAATATTGAATGTATATTTAGTACGTAAGCCTATATGAGGCACTTGGTAACTCTTTAACAAAATGGTTAATATCATCAGAATACTTTATGCTTTCCACTAGTAATCTCTTGCATTAGCATTCTAGGATAGTGTTTCTTACCTTTAATGAGCATTTGAACTGCTCAAAATTCTTGCTATAATTCAGATTCTAATTCAGGAGGTCAGGGGTGGGACTCAAGACTGCATTTCTAGGTGGTGCTGGTGTTTCAGATCTACTTGGACCACACTTTGAATACAAAGGTCCTAGGAGGCCATAGGATAACGTGGCAGATTAGGATAAAAAGGGGCATGGATAGAAAGTCCAAGGTCATCTTCTGGCAAACTTGCAAAAAGACCTTTACTTCTGCTCTACAGAAATAGAGACTGGGAGTCGAAGTGATTCTTAGATCAAGAGTAACTTTGGATGTCATGCGGGCAGTAATCCACTCCCTCTTTGGCATCCCTTTGCTCCCAGCATTCATTCTGGCTCATCACCTCAGGGACTCCCCATTACCTACCAGTGCTAGGAGTCCTCATTATCAACCCAGCTTCCCTCATGAGGTTTCTATCTCTTTCAGTGGAAACTCCATGAGGCTCTGGAACATCTGAGGAAAGAGCAAGAAGAGGCCTGGAAGCTGGAAGTTGGTGAGAGGAAACGAACGGCCACCTGGAAGGCAGGTTGCCACCCAAGGAAGGAGGTTGGGAGGTCCCAGTGCTGTCCTGGAGCTGGCCCTTGGTAGCTTCCTCATCTCTGTGAAGTAGAATGTGGGGCTTGAAGTCAGAGAGCCAGGGAACCTCATACCAGCTTTAAGCTTAGGCTGGCCATGTACTTCTCATTTCAGTTTCTTGATTGTGATGTAGGGATAACCTCCGGCCTGATGTCCTCATATATCCTCATACACACCTCACATGTGTTAGCTCATGGTGGTATAACTTGTATAATGCTTAGTAAAACATAGTTTCTGTTTTACTTTCCCCAGTTAGAGTATATTTACTAAAAGTTGAATTATTAAAATACTGGAAATCACCTCTGAAATTAGTTTGGCCTTAGCTACCAGACTATCAGAAATTTTGATCAACAGAAAGTAACATTGAACCAGTCAAAAACAACATATTGAGCCCAGGCCAGTGTGGCTAAGTGGTTAGAGCATCAGCCCACCTAACAAAGGGTCTCTGGTTCAATTCCCAGTCAAGGACAAGTACCTGGGTTGCAGGTTCGATCCCCAGCCCTAGCCTGGGTGCGTGCAGGAGGCAACCAATTAACGTGTCTCCCTCTCGCATTGATGTTTCTCTCTTCTCTCTCTCCCCTATCCTCCTTCCTTCCACTCTCTCTAAAAATCAATGGAGAAAATATCCTCAGTGAGGATTAACAAAAATAAAAACATACTGAACTGATATAACACCAGTAAAAAGCAAAAGCATCTACCAATGTAATTGTTGCACTACCTTAGAGGCGTAAGTGTAGTGCTCTGGGCATTGTAGAATATGATATTCTGAAAATAGGAAATAGTTAAAGCATATAGTACCAACATAATATCCTGGGCCCTACTGAACTCGATAAGCATAAGTAATAAGGCCCCAGAAGCACATGCAGAATTATGTGGAAACAGAAAGGTGGGGAAACAGTAGCCTTTATCTTGACCTCTGCAGTGCCTGGCACATTGTTGGTACCAAAATATTTCTGTGTGTGTGTGTGCGCACACGCTCAGTGTCCTCAGTCCCTTACACAAACAATATCAGGGCTTCTGATCTTGGCTGTGCAGATACAGGTGGAAACCCGGAAGAAGAGTATCATGTGGGAGTTTGAGAAGTATCAGCAATTACTAAAGAACCAGCCACCAGATCGGCAGCTGGAGGTGGAGGCAGCCACTGCTCTCACCAGCCTGGAGCAGGAGGAGAGGGAGACCAGACAGAAACTGGAGATGAATCACGATGTGCTTATCCAGCAGAGCCTGGTCCTGTGCAGGCTGATTGCAGAGCTGGAGGAGAGGTCTCAGAGGCCCATCCGCTGGATGCTGCAGGTAAGTGGATCCTGTATCCATCCTCCTACCCTCATCTCTGCTAGTGCCCGCTCTCCTCCTACCTGGTTGGTTGGATGACCTGGCCCTTTGTAGGCACATAGGTGGGGTGGTGCTCAGGCAGCTCTGGCATCATACCAGTCCTTCCCCTTTGGCCAGAGAGTTGAGATGGAGCCTGGAGTTGGCCAGTCCAGCTCAGCCTGCCCTGCTCCCCTCCCATAGGCTTCTCCCCTCTACCTCTGCACACCTTCTCTCTAGCCTTGCTCTGCACCTCCCTTACCCTTAGAGAAACCCAGAGCTCAGTGTCTGTCTGGTCCCTCCCTCCAGGGAACAGTGTGTACTCATGTGCTGCTCTTTTTCTCCTTTTAGGGTATTCAGGAGGCCTTAAACAGGTATGTTCCCATCCTTGGAGCCCCTAGGCAGACCCAGGAGGGATAGTGGGACCTGACCAGAAGTAGGGAAGGAACAGGGACCCAGTGCCATAGAAAAGCAGGGGTTCCTCCATATCTTCTCCCTCTTTCCTTGTACTGGCCCCACCCCATGTCAGGTGCACACGGAACCCTTCTCACAGCACCGGAAGGTGAATGTTCTCTCTGTGCCACAAACCATTCATCTCAGTGGAATAGGCATCACATCTCTGCTTTGCCTGGTGGTGCTGGGGAGGGGCACCACCCTGCCAAGCCCCTCTTTCTTGTACTAAGTGAAGGTCCACGTGGCAGAGCTAAGACTTCTTCTTGCCCCAAGGCTTACCCCTCCTCTACTAGGAGCAAGTGTTGGAGCCTTCAGCGGCCAGAACCAGTCTCCCTGGAGCTGAAGACCGATTGCCGTGTGCCGGGCCTACGAGAGATCCTGAAGACGTATGCAGGTAATGAATACTGGAGAGGTTGTGATGGGTAGTGGGAAGGACCCTCCTGGAGAAATGAAACAGTTCAGTGCCCTCTGGATGCCCCAGCTACCCCACTCCCACCTGTCACTGAGAAATCCATGGCTATATTTATCAGGGAGGCCTCGTCCATACCCCCTCACTCTGTTCCAGTGTTGCCAACCAGGACCTTTTTCCCTAGCTGATGTGCGCCTTGATCCAGACACTGCTTATTCCCGCCTCATCGTGTCAGAGGACAGAAAGTGCGTGCGCTATGGAGACACCAACCAGAAACTGCCTGACAATCCAGAGAGATTCTACCGCTATAATATCGTCCTGGGCAGCCAGTGCATCTCCTCAGGCCGGCACTACTGGGAGGTGGAGGTGGGAAACAGGTCTGAATGGGGCCTGGGGGTGTGTAAGGAAGATGTTGACCGGAAGGAGGTGGTCTATTTAGCCCCCCACTATGGATTCTGGGTAATAAGGCTGAGGAAGGGCAATGAGTACCGGGCAGGTACTGATGAATACCCCCTCCTGTCCTTGCCAGTCCCTCCTCAACGGGTGGGCATCTTCCTGGATTATGAAGCCCAGGATATCTCTTTCTACAATGTGACTGACAATGGCTCCCACATTTTCACTTTCCCCCACTATCCCTTTCCTGGGCGCCTCCTGCCCTATTTTAGTCCTTGCTACAGCATTGGTGCCAACAACACCGCTCCTTTGGCCATCTGCTCCCTGGAGGAGGAGGACTAGGAGACCCACCATCCCATCCAGAGGCCTCGTAATGTCATCTGGGCCACAGGGCCCTTGCAGAGCCCTGCCCCTGACAAGGGTCCCCTTCCACTGAGTTGAGCCTGGAATCGTAATTCCTCTGCTGCTCCTGGGCCAGAGCCTCTCACTAAACCGCTCGTGAAGGAGGTGAGGCTAAACCAAAGGAGCATTGTCCCCTGTGAAGGACGCCTGACAGGGCTGATGGTGTAGATCAGAGTGGCTCTAACAAGGAGGCCTGGTCCTTTCTGTAGTTCGGCCCTCTTTTTCAGTCCCTGTTGGTGTCATAATTAAGTCACCGAGAATGATAAAGTAGATCTGACCTCTGGAAATCTGTTGGATAGGGTTTACCAACAAGCCAGAAGGACACTCTCCTATCTGGAGCTAGGGGCTGTGCTGAAGCCAACTGGAGGAGGCCTCTCCTGAGGTTTCCTGTGAATGAGCAAATGCTTGACCCCAGCTCTCTGATCTCCAGACTAGAGCATGCCTTGCAGGTTGGCCAGATCACTCTAAGGGTCATCTTCATCTCAGCACAAGCTGGCACACCACTGTCTCAGACCCTAAGGAGACCTGTGCCCTGGTCCTGACCTCTGAGTGGCAGGATCGGAAAACCTGTCTTCTTTCTATCTTCACTTTGTGGATAAGAAAACTGAAATGGCCTTAACAGAGCAAAGTATTTCTCACAATGCTGTTGAAGTATTTCTCACATTCAAATGAAATAAGATTGACAGATTCACTTCTCAGGTGACGTGTCTGCATGTCATTCATTACATTTGGGTCTGAAACTTCCCACTCAAGTGAAAGATTTTCATCCTCCGTGGAAAAATGGGTGGAGTGGGTGCATACTCTCCTACCTCACAGGGTTGTGAGGATCTCAGATCCATCCCATACTTTGGTTCCTTTCTCAGGGACAGAGGAAGGCAAGCCATGGGTATTGCCTGTCTTACCCTCTCAGCCAGTATCTTGTTTACAGCAGGGCCTTTGTGCCTCTGGGCTCTCCTGGCAGTCTGGAGACAGAATGCGGCCATGCCAGGGGCAAACTCAGAGGCAGGTAGGCCACAGTAATATATTGTGCGTTTATTGTACATGTTTGTCTTCTTTGGATTAGAATTGGGACTGTGACCGCAAGAGAGAGAATGAAGATAATAATTTTAGAAAGAAAACAAAAGCCCAGGAAGGAAGGCTCACTCACCCACAAGCTAGTTGGGCTAGTGTGGATCTTTTTATATCACCAAGGGAACCTGCGTGGTTCTGGTAGCACATAACTCTCCCTGCCTTTGTCTTCTCTAAATCCGTGACAGGAGAGATGGGGAAAGAAAGTGTGGGGGAAAGACTAGGACTAGGCACAAAACGCCAGCTTTGGAACCATGTATTGTAAAGAAGGGGAAATTAAGACTGCATCTGTGCTATTGATTGCTGTGAGCAAGCCTTAAGAGAATGATGTGGGAATGATTGTGTCTGGAAACAACTTCAAGACTACCATATGAGAGTTAATGGCTTTGCCTATTGTGAGAGGCTACAATATGTACATCACATATCGTCACCTTGACTGTAGGACACAACCTCTGATGTAGTTTAGACGTGAAGGTGTGACTGTTGGGGTAGGATGGAGCAGCAAAGAAGATGCTAGGTGATGTATGGACAGAAGCAAAGTAATCACTGTAGTAAATAATAGCAAAAGTTGTCTTTTTATTTTAATTGGTAGTTAACATATGAAGGAGGTAAAACAGGCCAAAATGAAGAAATAAACTCCTTCTACCCACCATTCCTCCAAGTCACTTCTTAAGCATTAGCAGTAGAAGGGGAATGGGCTAGTAAGTCACAGACCTGGTCTTGGCAAAGGGCTGAGCGGACCTACAGTAGAGGAACTATGTGTCTTTGGGTGGGTGGCTGGGGCACTCACAAAGTTCCAGAGGGGAAGAGGCAGGTAGACAAGCAGCCTCTTGTGGAGGGTGGAGTGCCTGGGGGAATTGTTTACAGACTTGAGAAATAGATCTGCAGGAAGCACTTCCCATTATATGTTCATACATACTTAGCAGAAGAGGCTAGGGACAAATTGATCGCCTTCTTTTACTATGGTTTTATTAGGACAATCCTTAGAAGGTTAAGAGAAAAGAAGAAGATGATAAATTCATTCAAACCTTGAATGAATTAAGGAGTGGAATAGCTTCATTTGTAATATACTATTTTGAGGCTTTGGTTTTTTGTTTTGTTTTGTTTTTTCTACTTATAAGCTGATTTGGGAGCTATGATTGCTTGTTAGGAGAATACAAGGTTAAATTATGTCACATTGTTTATTTCATATTTTCTGATTTTTAAGACCAGGCATGAAGATTGAAGTTGTTAAGTATATGAAAATCCTTTTCTTTAGGGTACTTAGGTACACTTGTCTTCTAAGAGCCCCATGAAGGCAAGACCATATTTGTCTGGCTCACCATTGTACTCCCAGTCTAGCACTGTGTGTGTCTATGTGTTGATAAGTAAGTGAGGGAACTTTTGATCGTATTCCTAGAATCAAAACAAAAATAAGTTCTCACCTCAAAGGGGCGTGAAAGACTAAATGATACATACTTATAAACCTGTTCCAAAACTAACTTGATAGGTAGTTAAAAGGGGAAGAGACAGGTAGCCGTGTGGAGGGTAGAGTGCCCGCACATTCCCTGAAGTCACTACCATGGCACCTCCAACTTGATGTGATTGTTCACCACAAGGCAGGTGTCAGGAGTGAGCATTGCCTACTTTTGTTTTACTGGCAGAGAAACCAAGGAGTGCAGTGCCTGGACCTTGAGGGGAAAGGCTACTAAAAGGGTGAAATGCTTGAGTGCTGCAAGAGGAAGAGAGAGGCCAATCCTTGGGCTAACCCACAGGAAATTCAGTCTACTTGTTTTTCAAGCAGGATTGGTTGTAATGTCTTAAAAGCAAACATAGTGTCGACTGTGGGTTAGGGGCTAGTTAATGAGCACAAATTGCTTCATGTGATGGCGCAGGGGTTGTGTTTGAATGTAATGGGGAAAGCACAGGATTTTCTGTTTGGCAGTGGCCATGAAGGGAACCAGTCCCCTTTGGAAAGTATACAGTTAGTTCAATGAATATTTGAGTACCAAGTAGTTTCAGGGACTACTTACATGAATGAAACAAAACTGGTGGGACAGGCTTCTGGTAGAAATACTGTGAAGAACTGTTTGGTTTGGGTGCAAGCTGGACTGTGCCTTTGTTGCTTTCCATCAGATGTAGTCAATTCTTTAATTTGCTTATGAAGAAAGAATATTGTGACTTTTAATATAGAAATCTTATCAGATATGTCTAACCACCTCATCTTGATTTGTTTTTGTTTATGGGGCTGCAATAGGAGGAGAATTTCTATTTACTACCCTGGGAGTTCAGTGCATTATCAGATTTTTAGAGACTGATTTCTGCTCCATTGGTATTCAGAAACAGAATATATTCTAATAAATAAGTCCAATGTTAGCAAAAGGTATGGATGCAGCAGATCTGTTTGGAAGAATTATCACATGAATGATAATTACAGGACTGCAGTTCTAATAGTACCTAAAACTACCTCTTAAATTATGGAATCAAAATCTGTTGGGTAGCCCTGGCCAGCTAGCCCAGTTGGGTAGAGTGTCATCCGATACACCAAGGTTGTGGGTTCAATCCCCAGTCGACACATACAAGATACAAGAAACAACCAATGAATGCATAAATAAGTGGAACAACAAAATGATGTTTCTCTCTAAAATCAGTCAATAAAATTTTTTTTAAAAAGAGATCTATTGGGTATATTTTTAAGTACATACAACATGTTGATCTTATATGCTTTCCTTATTTTATTATTTTATTTTCAATGCCCTCTATAAATTACCAGTTTCTTCCATCAGTAGAAAGGAGATATTAAGATTCAGATACAATAACTTGTTATCAACACTATTAAGAAATACCTTTTTTAAGATTTTCAAAGGTACCAGAGTCAAATATATGTATCTCTTACATATGACATACATTTTTTAAACATACTGATTCTTAAAGTGATCAAAGAGACAGTGCATCAGCAAGCTCCATATTCGCTCCCGTATTTGTTTGGCCCTCAGACCATAGATAATGGGGTTTAAAGCAGGTGGGATGACCAGATATAAGTCAGCTAGCAGCACTTGGGTGTGCAAAGGCACTATGTCCTGCCCTAGCCAGGCCACATAGATGGATGCCATCCCAGGTAGGTAGTACAGAGCCATAACCACCACATGGGAGCCACATGTGCTTAATGCTTTCAACTGAGCATTTTTTGAGGAGAGACTGAAGACTGCCCGGAGAATCAGGCTATAAGAAGCAACAATGAAGACCACATCAGAGCCCACAATAATGGAAGAACCAATCAGACTATAGAGACTACTGGGCATGGAGTCTGAGCAGGCCAACTTGGCCACAGCTATGTGCTCACAGTAGGAATGGAGAACCATATTGGAGCCACAGAAAGGAAGATGACTCACCATCCAACTTAATGGAGTCATGAATATGACAGCTCTGATGGTGATGGTCACACTCATTCCCAGCATCACTTGAGGTGTGAGAATCCTCTTGTAATGTAGGGGCTTACAGATGGCTATGTAGCGGTCGAAAGCCATGACCAGCAGCAGCCCTGTCTCCATAGCTGTGGCTACATGGACAAAATACATCTGAGTAAAACAGGCATTGAAGTTGATGGAGCTGCCTCCTGAGGAGAAGATGCTCACCATCTTGGGCACTACAGAGGATGCCATAGCAATGTCCACAGCAGCCAGAACACACAGGAAGCAGAACATGGGCTCTTGTAGAGTGGAATCCATCCAGATTACAGTCACTATGAGGGTGTTTCCTAACAGGGCTATGATATACATGGCACCCAGTGAGATAGCCAGCCAAAGATGTGAAGACTGCAAACCTGGGATACCCACAAGGAAGAAGATGGCAGGGGTTTCCATTGTGTGGTTGTAGGGTGGTCCCAGCATCACAGGTGAGACTGTTTTCCTGTCAATACATAAAATTATGTAAGAAAGGGATGCAATCCTGTGAGACTTATTCCCAGCTGTAGTGTTAGGAGAGCCTGGTGGTATTTTCAGCTCAGGACCAGAAAACTGACATCAAAGTTATCCTGCTCCACCTTCCATCCTCATTATTCTTTGCCTCATTATTTATTGTTCAGAGATCAGCTTATGAGTTACTTCCTTTGGAAGTCTCGACTCTACCTCCTCCCCCATCCCATGTTGAAGCTAAATTAGTTACCTTCTGAGTTTTCATGAAATCTCCCACGCTGACCTCTGAGGGACCTAAACTGACAATTCCAATACTCTACCTATGACTTTATTGTATTCAATCATGTGTGTCTTGGTTATGGACTTATACCTTGTACCAAGTTTGTGACACATAGCTGTGGTGCACAAGTCCATTAAAAGAAGATATATGTGCTCATTATAGCAAACAGTTGAATGAATGAATGATCAGAGGAAAGAGTTTTTCTTCTATCTTTGTGTGTTCATTTCCTAATATTCAGTATTCATTGAATGAAACAATGAACTTCCTGACATTGAATATGTCATATTTTGTATCCCCAGGCTAGTGCTAGACAAAATATGAATGAAGCATCCTTCTGGTTGAAGAGATGAATTAGCAGATTCACAAAAATAGGTCATTAGAGAACAACATTATAATTTTTCATAGGAGATAGTAAACTATCTGAAACTATTTATAATCCCTACCTTTTCTTTAATTCAGCCTGGATTTCATTATCACACTAGGTTCAATTAATAGATTAAATAGCTGCAAATAAAAAATTTTGGCTCCTTTATAGATAAACCTTCCCAATAGGTGTTTATGATTCTTCAATGTAGATAACTCTTCATGATAAGCTACAAAGACATTCCAAACATCAGTGAAGCTTTATCATTTAGAATTCGGGGGATATGATTGCAAACCCTGGTCTTTATTGAACCAGACAAACCACCACCAACAACAACAAACCCTAAATGCAAGAAATACCTTATCAGGGAACAGACTGAATGAAGTAGTAAGCTCTGCTTTGTGGTCAGATTAAAGAGACCTTGCTGTGTATAGTCACTGGGTGGGACATCTTCAGTGAAAGATCACGAGAAGACAAGAAGGGAAAGCTTTTTGATACAGAATCGAAGTGAAGAGCTAACAGGTTATCAGAAATAATTCAGGTTATTCTTAAGACTGCCATGTGTTTTCTGAAAGCCACAGACCCAAAGTTGTGCATCACTGCTTAAAGAGCTGAAGAAGAAGCTGAGGAACTAGCCTCTGACCCAGGATCTCCCTCTCCTGGCTGGCTGCCCTGTACAAACCTACCTTTCTTCTGAGGGCAGTCTCACCTGTGCACGCACCAGCCCTTCTTGCTCCACCCTGGCAACTTCTAGCTGGTCATATTTTTTATTCCCTTGAGGGTTTTATTTTTCTCATTTCTCTTCTTAATTAGTACTGCTAGGAGTTTATATATCTTATTAGTCTATTTAAATGACAGGACATTTGATTTGGTGGTTATCTTGTTTTTGTTTTTTGTTTTTCTTAATTCACTCTTCAATCTATTGCTACTGAAAATTTTCTTGCCAAGATCAACGATGATCTCCATTGGTGACCTGCTGCCAATCTAGTTATTTCTTTTCATTTTTTTTATTTTACCTGACCTATCCAAAACACTTACCATAATTGTCTACTCCTTCATTTTTTTTTTGGCTTTTTGATTGAAGTATAGCACATACTGTGAAATGTACAAATCTCAGGTATACAGCTTGATAATGTTTTATAAAGTGAACACATGAATACACCCACATGGCCACTACCCAGATCAAAATATAGACACAGTCGCTTCCTGGTTGTTAAGATGGTCTTCAGAAAGCTCTGGTCAAGAGCTCTCTTAAGGTATTTCCAGCCCAGAAGGGGCTTCTGCCTTCAACCCTGCCGTGACATTCACATAAAGATCTGGAAGGCCAATCACTAAAAAAAAGTTTAGACACATCACTTAACTCCAAGAAATAAATCATATGATGTGTTAGGATTTTTCATTCCTATTTAATGGATTAAAAATATACAATCCAAATTAAAATTGTTTAACAGTAAAGGCAGTAATACATAACTCATTTGATAGGGCTTTGTGTTTATGATAACCCTATGCCTCCCCTCTACAACCAAATAAAGATGCTCCCAATCTGCCCTACTGTTCTGTTTCTTTCCTTATAACTCATTCGGCCTATGAAAACTGTCTCCCCTTACACTGTGGTTGAACTTACCCCTTTCTCTCTCAGCTTTGAACCAAAGCAGTTCTGTGTTCCCTGCTCCCTCCCTCTCCCCTGTCCTCTTCTTATTTCCAGAAAATGATCTTGACATCAGAAGTACCCATTAGACCTGGCCAGACCTTTTATAGTAGAGTTGAGGGCCTATACCCTCCTTTCTAGGATGACCCTGGCTTTCAGACTCATCAGCCCAACACCCAGTCCCCAGGTCAATTACCCACATCCCTGGAGTTTTCTCTATTTCACTTCCTCTGCTGTGTCCACATTTCTTTCACTCAAAAGAATGAAGATTTATACAGGACCCTTCAGGAAGAGCTGAAAAAGCAGTTTATGATCAAAGACGAACAACATAGAGTCATGGTGAGAGTACTGTCACTTTCAAAGACTTCCCACTGGGAACCCTCTTTCTTCTTCAGATTCCCTATCATCCTGCTTTTTCCCTGGACACCCCAGCTCCCCTTGGCCTCTGCCCAACAGCCAAACACTGTAACTCCTCCAGAGACTGGCTTTTCTCTGTGCACCCCCCCCCCAGGGGGGGGTCCAGATTGCAGGAGGAGGTAGCTGCTTAGTGGATGAAGAGTCTGTTTCTTCAAGTCCTCAGAGGACACCTAAGAGTGAGAAGGATATAGAGTGCATCCTGAAAAAACAACCAAAACTGAGATTGGTTAGATTTGTGAAAGCCTGCTATGTGCCAAGCACCCTGCTGAATGCTTTTCAAAGATGACATTCAATATTCACAGCCCTCTAAAGTAGCTGCCATTATTACATCTTCATTTTGTAGGTGAACTGAAGGGACAGAGAAGGTCACAAAGCTAGTAAGCCAGAATCAGGATTCAGATTCTAGTGATCATAATGCATTTCTTTGTTGTAGAACTCTACACTGATAATATACTTAATCTCTCAAAATTCACTGTTCAGTTCAGTTCCTCATTTCTGCCTGGGGGCTTGTGGTGGCTTCACTGTTTCAGTATTTCTCATGACTCTCTGTTATAAAGTCCTATTTGAACAAAGAAGGGAAATAGAGTGTAAGGGAATCAAGGAAGATAAGCTTTTCAAACTGAGGGAAGGGTGTGGACCTCAGCACAAAGAGATGAAAAGACAAAATATTCCACAGAGAATAAACTGGGGGAGGTAGAGTACAGGGTACTTGAAAGAGAATAAAAATAAATGAGACCAGAAAGTAAATGAGGTGCATGGTCCATAAATGAGCTCATGACTTATGCATGGGCATCATCATGCTGCAGGAATAAAGCTAAGAAAAACCAAGAGGCACAAGATATAAAATTTTTTTTTTTAAGGCAAAGGATATGGAGACGTACAGAAATATGAAGAATCGGTAGATGGTGCTACATGCTCCCAGTGTCCCAAGTCCTCAGCAGACACATGGTTACTGGTGATGTGAATGGTGAGAGAACTTTGTTTCCTTGGCAGGGGTCAGGAGTGCTTCATGCCTCCCTCAACCTGACCCATCACATTCCTAAAAATGGACGAGGGTGGGGTTGAAGTTCAATTTACTAGGCTTATCATCTATTAGATGAAAACTAGTCTCCAAAACTGCTATACTTAAATATTTAAACTCTTTAGCCTGTGGGTCCCTGTTACCTATAGGATAATTCAGAAAACAGACCAGAATGTAAACCTAAATAAACGACAATATGGAATAGTGGTAGGAAAAGTGGGCAACGAAATATTGAAGGCAAAGTGGTGCTACGTAAGTAGCCCCAGCATGAGATGAGGCAGCTAAACAGAGACAGCACCAATGGGGACAGAGGGACCCCTTCCCCCTGGGATTCAACCTGGCTCCTGCTGAGGCATTAAAGGCAGGCACAGATCTCATGAACAGGGTGTGGCCTTAAACTCACCACACCCAGTGCCATGGCAGAAGGTTTTAAGAGAAAGAAGAAGTATTCCCAAAAGGGTGAAGACTCAAGATAACAGAATAATGATAAAGAGAAAAGGTGTTCTACAAAGAAGCAAGAGCTTTCAACATCTTTTATTCTCCCACCCTTTGGAATAGAATAAGAAAGATTAAATCTACAACTCACTAGACCATAGCTTTATTTGGACATGGCACCTAGGCATAATGGCCCGTGTCAGGCTTACACGTGTAAGTGCTTTGGCGTGGGCATACAAGCGTACATACAAGTAACGGTTGATACATATCTCATTTCAATCACATAGCCCTTTTTGCTCAAGCTGCTTTTTCATTAGGACCCTGTGATATCTTCCAAGGGAAGAATTTCATTTTGTGCCATGGGGAACCAGCCACAATACCACCTGATGAAAACAGTCTACAAGATTTCAGTTGCTTATTCACAAAAAGTGTCTCTTGATTATAGAAAGCAGCTGACTTCTCCATACAGCAGAATAATTCTCCTTAGGGTTGTATCAGTTTAACAAGTCTCTTGAGGTCAGGATTTAAATAGAGACACATCAATGGTGAAAATGCCAGCGGAGTGAATAGAAGCTACACAGACCATCTCCCAGGATCACATTGGAATTAAAACTAAAATAAACACAAATTGTCAGGAAAAAATAACAGAAAAGCAGCTAGCAAGGACCATATAACCAGGGACACTGAATCAATACTGGTATGATTATGGAGATGCAAAAAGGGAGGCTAAAGCCCCCAGACAGCAGCAGTCTTAGCTGTGAGCAGGGCCCTGGGGTTAAAATACCAAGCCTGCTCCACAGTGCAGAGGGCCGAGAAAGAGTGCTAAAATAGCAACAGCCACTCACCTTGGGCTCCTGAACAGGGAGAGCTGACTGGACTGGTATTGTGGGGGGATACTCGGGACTTGGAGGGCACTCAGAGCTTTTGCTGAGTTGTGTCCACACAAGACTGTGGCCATCTTACTCCTTCCAAAGGCTCTGGGGAGAGGCAGCAGTCACTCCCTTGGAAATTCAACCAGACCCAATTGGGCAATTGAAATGCAAATTGAGGCTCATTAACAACCAGCATCTGCCCCACCACCAGGAAATCCTCTTTTTTTTTTTTTTTTTTTTTGTTACAGATGTTTCTCCTTTTTTACCCCATTGACACCTCCTCCCCATCACCCACACCCCCTGCCCGGCTTTGTTGTCCATGTCCATTGGTTATGCGTACATGCATATAAATTCTGTGGTTTATCTCTTCCTTCCCCCACCACCCCCTCTTCTGAGGGTTGTCAGGCTGAACCCTACTTCCATGTTTCTGGGTCTACCCTATTCCTCAGACTGTTATGTTCATTATATTCCACAAATAAGTGAGATCATGTGGCATTTATCTTTTTCCACTTAGCATGTTTCACCTAAGATAATACTTTCCAGGTCCCTCCATGTCGTCTCAAAGGATAAGAGATCTTTCTTTCTTACAGCTGCACAGTACTCCATTGTGTATATGTACCACTGCTTTTTTTACCCATCTGTCTACTGATTGACACGTAGGCTGTTTCCAGATCTTAGCTATTGAAAATAGTGCTACTAGAAACATGTGAGTACATATATTCTTTCTGATTGGTGTTTCAGGCTTTCTAGGGTATATTCCTAGAAGTGGGATCACAGGGTCAAATGGAAGTTCGATTTTTAATTTTTTGAGGTAACACCACATTGTTTTCCATAGTGGCTGCACCAGTCTGCAGTCCAACCAGCAGTGTACTAGAGACCCCTTTTCTCCACATCCTCGCCAACACTTGTTGTTTGATGATTTGTTGATGGTGGCCATTCTGACAGGTGTGAGGTGATACCTCATTGTTGTTTTAATTTGCATCTCTCTGATGATTAGTGATGTTGAGCATTTCTTCATATGTCTCTGGGCCATTTGTATGTCCTATTTGGAGAGGTGTCTATTCAGCTCCTCTGCCCATGTTTTAATTGGGTTCTTTGTCTTCCTTTTGTTGAGTTGTATGAATACTCTATATATTTTGAAAATTAACCCCTTATCTGATGTATCATTGGCAATGATGATCTCCCATACACTGGGTTGCCTTTCCATTTTGATAGCTGTTTCTTTTGCTGTGCAGAAGCTTTTTAGTTTGATGTAGTCCCATGTGTTCATTTTTTCCTTTGTTTCCGTTGCCTTAGGTGATGTATCAATGAAAATTCGGCTGCGTTTGATGTCTGAAATTTTGTTGCCTACATTTTCTTCTATAATTTTTATGGATTCACAGGTCACATGTAAGTCTTTTATCCATTTTGAGTTTATTCTTGTGTATGGTCTAGTTTCATTTTTTTGCACGTAGCTGTCCATTTTCCCACCCCATTTATTAATGAGGCTGTCTTTACTCCATTGTATGCTCTTGCCACCTTTGTCAAATATTAATTGAGCATAGTGTCTTGGATCCATTTCTGGGTTCTCTAGTCTGCTCCACTGGTCTATATGCCTATTCTTGTGCCAGTACCAGACTGTTATGATTACAGTAGCTTTGTAGCATAACCTGATATCTGGTATTGTGATCCCACCTACTTCGTCCTCCTTTTTCAAGATTGCTGTGGCTATTCAGGGACTTTTTGGTTCCATATGAACGTTTGAAGTATTTGTTCTAGTTCTGTGAAATATGTCATTGGTATTTTGGATAATATGGACATTTTAATGATGTTACTTCTTCCAATTCATGAACAAGGTGTGTGCTTCCACTTTTTTCTTTTTCCACATCTTCCTTTATTTCTTTTTCAATGTCCTGTAGTTTTCTGCAAATAGGTCCTTTACTTCTTTGGTTAAGTTTATTCTTAGGTATCTTAATTTTTTTGCCGCAATGGTGAATGGGATTGTTTTTTTAGTTTCTCTTTCTGTGAGTTCATGATTGGTGTATAAGAATG